TTAGTTTGATAGAACAGACTCCCCTTAACAGGTGTCAACTACTACCGGCTCCATACAAACGACTCATTCACGACATAAACATTACAAACGAACCGAACAGAACGACCTAACTTTACCGACGGATCGAAACAGACCAATCACGACCGACTTACGCCACTTGAGTCTTACCGCCAATAACATCACGGTAAAACTGAGCAATCATTTTACACGAACTGAAATAAGAACATTCTACTGACAACAACTATTCACTTGACTCTGATGATGACTTCCGCACAGGTTGTCGAAACGTCAGTCACTACAACCGACAACAGTCCTTCTCAGGACTACACTCACCAGGACGATCACACTGCACTTTCACAAAACCTAATTACCTTGTTATTTTCACCAACGCGGCACCACAGTTCCTTTAGAAAATTACCCCCTTTATTCATTCTATTATATTCTCTTGCACTTACTTGGACAAGACTTTCTGCTGTTTTGGGCGATTCTTTCGCGAGGATTCTAGTCATGGAGCAATAAACTTTGTGTGATTAATCTAACATTTAGCACATGCATACTGGCTCAAATAAGCTCATCTAACATGAATAATTTCACAGGTCGAGTTGTGAAATGGTTATCACAGTGTATAAAGCCACTGTTAACATTTCTCGTGTCAGGCAGCTGTGTTAATAGAGAGATTTAGCACCGCGTTTATGTGAAACGCCAAACGTCAGCTTGCCCTTTCACGTTTCACGTAAAAAAGCGTAAACCTCATTACTTTAGTTTCGCGTGAGCTCAAGTCATGGCGGATTTTCAGGCGCCCCTGTATGACTTACAAGGAATAGTTTTGGTGCCCTTGTGCCGGCAATTAACTTCTACTCTGTGAGAGAAAAAGTAAAGAAATCTTACGTACACGGCAAACGCATAACAGATTACTTTCAGGCAGAAACAGCTACGTGCAAGCGGCAAACGGAAAAAATGGCGGTAAAAACAAGGTCACGTAGTCGCTCTTGTTGTTCACGTTTCACGTAAACGCGGTGCCAAATCTCTTTACTACCCCCATTAAGAATGCTGGTGTCACGCACGTGCGTTACAAACTTATGTCACACTACTAAAATGCCCTCAGCTGTATGTCGATCCTTTTAGAGTCACTGGAAGGAATACTGGTGTCATTAAACAAGCTAAGAAGTCAGCATGCGTTGTTTTACCCCCGTAGCACTTACAGCTGTATGATTCCTTCCTGTAAATGATGTTCATCATCGTGCAGACCATTTAACTATTCATAATTTAAGAATTATTTTATTAAAGAAACATGACAAAGCATATGACTTTATAAAATTAAGTAAAAAAATAGCTGTCCTCTAATTAAAATTGTCTTACCCAATCATCTTGGCAGCTGCTGCCTGCTGGACAAACACAGGGAGAGGGGCCTGGAGCTGAGGTGCATCAGGATCTGCCAAAACAAACATCACAGTCACGTCATCATGTATCTACAAATTCATTCAAAAGTCCATTTTACAGTTGTGTGCTTGGTTGCCAAGCCTTTGAATAGGAGTGAGGCTAGGGTTGACCTTGTTATGATACAAACCTTGCTGCCTTTCAAATGTAAATCACTTTGTTATCATGCTAAGTAGATACAGGTCTCTATCACAACAAGGTCACCTTCAGCCTCACTCTGAATCAAAGGCTTGGCAACTAAGTACACAACTGTAAAATGGCCTATTACAAACATTACAGTCACATTGACCTGTGAGACTTAAACTTTCCCATTATAAAGTGTGGGTTACTAGATATCATAATTTCTGACAAACCTGACAATGTCGCTTCTGAGCTGTCCTTGATTTCTTCCTTGGTTGGTTTCAACAATCCAACCAGACCATTAAGCAAAGAGTGCTGTACATCATACTCCATGAGCTCTTTGATCAGCTCGCAGGCTTCATACTGAACCTCCAGGTGAAGCGATCTCAGCAACATCAACACTGGTTCTACTATGGTAGGATTGGCTGCTCCCACAATGGGCTGTTACAAGAAAAAGATGATTCTAATAAATAACCAGAACCAATCATAGAGTAACCACAAGTGAGGCATGTCAAAAGTAGTGTACACAAAGACTGAGGCAAATTGAGGCAGAGGGGATAATTTATGAAAATGAGGGAGAACCAAATTAAGCCCCATTTCATCACAGAAATGAATCATTTCTCAATTATTTCATAAGTTTCACAAGGCAATAATAGTCTGTTACGGCAAAAGCTGTTCCTGGTTTCCAAAACATGATAAACTTTTGAAGAATGTTATTAAATGTGCTTCACCAGGATGAAAATTGCTTTTCAATCACCCCTATCCCCCTGACCCTCAAAACCCCAGACCCTCACCCCACTATCTCTATACACACAATGGTCAAGTTACCTTGTATCCTGACTATGTTATGTATACTCAACCGCACCACTGTCTTCAGTTTCAGTCTGTACTAATTGCTACTAACATGCGTTTGTCCCAAGATCATTAGACAAAGGCCATTTACCCAATGGTTCAGCCACTACTTTTCAATTTGGAGTTCAAAATTCTGACAAATTCCTTCCCACACCATCCCAAATGTTGATAAAAACTGATTGAAGGTGTACTTTGCAACTTTTAAAAGTACCTGTTTTTGACACTAACCTGTACTATTCTAAGAGTCTGTGCTGCCATCTGCTGAGCCTTTGGAGACACACACTTTAACAGGGCAATAAGTGCCTTGTAGACTTGTCCTTCATATTTTGGATTTCCCTAGAAAAATTAAAATCACCATTATTGTCAATATATTTATTATATGACAGCATCATCCGAATCACCATCGTTATCATCATAATCATCACTAATAGCAACATTGTAGTGACCATGGCATCATCGTTAATATAATAAGTAAATTATTGATTCACATTATCATTATCACCATTTAGTAAGATCATTAAACTGGGCTAGTGGAAGATAAGTGAGCTAGTGACTGTACTTTGAAGAAGGGGGATGCTGTCAAAAAGAAGGCAGAGTTGAATGTTTAGTTGTACTCAAATGACATTATCTCATTTGGCAGCTTCTTCTTGAATTGATAAAGGATTAATAGCTGAAAACAATTCTGCAAAATAGCCAGCAGATTTTGCCACCTTTCCACACCTAAACAAACAGCCAAGCATGTTGCTAGTTTTAAGTGTGGAAAGCTGAAAAAATCTCATGCAATTTAATATGATAATTGGGATCTGGCCTAAAATCATAGTATACAGTCATGTACAAAGAAAAAGTACTTCTTCATCACCCATGATGGTAAACTTCATTTCAAATTTATCATAGTGTGTGTGTGTGCACTGAGCCAGGGACTCGTAGCTAAGAAATTACACTGCTGGCTAAAATTTCAAGTGAGGTGACTCACAGGTGGTAAGTAAAGGTAAAGCCTGCACTGGGTGGAAAGCTAGTGGAAAGCTAGTCTATAGCAAGGTTACCCCCAGCATTAAACTTTCTGGTACCCATTTAATTCTCTTGGGCAAAGAGGGGCATTGGTAGGGTAAAGTGTCTTGCCCAAGAACACAACACAATGTCGCTGGCCAGGGCTTCAACCCGAGCCACTCGACCCAGAGTTGAGTGCACTAACCATGCGGCCACTGCGCCTCCACACACTCACAGGTGGTGAATGTTTGTAAGTGAGTAAACTCGAAAGCGTCCATTGCACTTTAACAAGCATTTGCTAGCCAAAAATCCAGCCAGTAATCACCATTTTTTCATGTGCCACATATCACCAGTAGCAAGCGCTCAGTGACAACCCTGCTAAGCATGAACTTACATTTGAAAGTTGCTGCAATAGGTTCCGTGCACAATCCTGAGTCTCTTCAGAGTTTGACTTTGCAAGACATTCTGCAACTGCCCTGATTCCAAAGCTTTCACAGATTAGCTCTTTGTATCTTCTACCTGAGTTTGCCACACACATCAGCAGCTTTAGGGCTTGAGCTTTATCTTCCTGACCAAATTAAATCAGAAGGTGAATGGAGCATCAGGTACGTCAACACGTATACAAATATACACTGCCAGGTAATAAAACCAACCAACCTCTTTTGCTTGCTTGAGACCAAGAATTTCTAGAACAGTCAAAACACCACCAACTTCTAAAAATTCTGCCAAAAATTTATGCCTAGGAAAGAGAAAGAAAGAGATAAAAAGTTCCATAAACTCCAAAATTTTAAGAACGTTCCCACAACTAAATAAGTATTTTAACACTTGTACTATAGAAACATATTGGAACATTTGGATCAAATCTAGGTCCTGGTTTTCTAAAAACTACATCATTTCAAAGCTAACTGAGAATAGGGCTATTCTGGAAACTCATGGATAATTTGGGAGAGTCGGTATGTGCATGTATGATATTGTTTGGTTTAGAGCCAATTCCCAAAGAAGAAATTGTAAGAAATGGATCATAACAGTGCAGAGAATTTATATTTTGATCTTGGAAGGGAACGGGTTCATAACCCATGCATAATCCCAAATCCAAGAACCACACCAGAGCCACAGTACTGAGAAAAAATTAACTCTTTACCCCTTAACATCAGTATGCATATTCTCCATACTGCTCTCTACACATTTCATAAGATGTTGACTAGGAGAATTTGTTTAACAATCATGAATTTCTTTAGGTGATCACTTCTTTAACTCTTGTGACCTTAATCTGTGATTCAGGGGTAATATTGTAAGGAGAAATTAGACAATAGTCACTCTTGGTGATCAAAGGGTTAAAGCTGTCATTTATTTTGTGCCCTTAATATCCTTGTCTCCTTAAATGTTGATACAGTGTTTAGTTCAAAGGATGGGGGAAGAACAATCAAGGCTGGAATCTACCCACATGCGATAACCCTGTGGAGTGACTCACCCACTTGATGAGCCAACAAAGATGGTGATCGCCTGAAGTTGCAATTGAACACATGTTCCGAGCATGTATCTTTATTGAGCAAGAAATATCATTCAGTCAAGGAGCCAATATGAGAAGTATATTTAGAGGGTACAATGCAGAAAACAAAACCAGTTCGAGAATATGTTACAAGATAATTAACTCCTAACAAATTTCTGGCCCCAGCTATGAACTTGCCATCTACTAATCACAAGGCTTAGGTCGCTTTAGAGAGGATTGTCACGGACAAACATCTTGGAATTGAAGTTGATAATCACCAGAAAAAAAGATGATGAGCCTTGATAAATAAGATGCATTCCTGGAATTGCAAAGATTTTGGAAATTTTGGCTTATCCCAAAAACCTGCCTAAACTAGAGCGATAAGTTCTGTTCGAGGTTAATTTAAAATTGGAACAAGAGCTAGAGCTTGGAGAGGAGATAAATAATGTCTATTCGGAGGCGATAAATTGTCAAAACCTATGAATTTGAAGTTGTGAGAATCCGAGAGCTTTGGATCAGGTAGAAAGAAATTTCTTTCGTCAGCTTTTTTTTTCCATTAAATTCCAGTGGAAAAAGGATTCGAGGAACTGACAACTGGAAAGGATACGTCAGCCGTAACCAGGCAGTCAACCTCGTGAGAAACAAGCTAGCTGCATGAGCAAACTCAAGTTCCAGTTCTGGACCAGTTTTTCCCTGGTTTGCTGTGATAAAATCATGAAGAATCTTTGATCGAACACTCCTGGATCCATGATCCCACTGTTGCAATAGTCTTGTCACGGACGCCTGGTCACTTTTCATCCTGAAAATTGGAAATATGTATGGCCGCTCTTCAATCAAAATTATTTGTGAAGTATGCGTAAAATTTTTATATTTATCAAGGCTGGATTACAATAAAGAAGATGGAAGGAAATAACCAAACTCCAATGATCTCTTACCTTTTTAATATCAGTAAGGAAGCAAAGTGGAAAAGTTCGAAACCGTTCGGTGGAGACAGTCCGCCATATTTGTTGACTATAGTAACCACAAGCTAAACCGATGACCGTAATAACTTGCGGCTCAACATTTTCTCCCAGTTCTCTCACAGTGTAAGCAAAAGGGCAGGGGGTAGGGGTGGAGAGAGAGAGAGAGAGGAGTCTTCATTTGAAAATTTTTTTTTTTTTTATCATTTCTCAAGGTTCTTCACTTAAGAGACTTTTTCTCTCCGGCTTAAAACAATGGAAAAGACAATTACTGGTCATGAATTGATTTGCATTAACCTGGTAGGCAGTTGCTCAAATACTGACCTTGACTCGAATCAAGGAAGAGTGCTCAAAATCTTCAGTTTGAACGATAATTATTTTATTACCATCAACATTATGGTGTATGAAATTATGATAATTTCAGAAAGGAAAAAAAAACTGGTAGTAGTGTTGTGGGTTAGGGTTAGTCCAATCCAGAAAATTCGCAATTCACGTGAATCGTCGCCCTCGATCTCGGATTGGTAGGTAGCCGCCAATCGACCACAGGACGATTTCTCGCACTCAGGAATTGATTTGCACAAATAAAATAATTTCTTCCAAAGAAATCCTTGCACGACACTGGGCTTGGGTGTCCACCAGCCTTGATGAAATGATTGGTTCTGTCAATATGGCCGGCTGCAAGCCTGACAGCTTCCTTTCCCCAAAGAAGCCATGCAGACGATGATGCCTTAAGATTGATGTACTGTATCACCAATGTTGTGAACTCCCTCCATAATCCTTGATGTGACCCTGCAGTTCCTCTTAGGACAGTTAATGCTGAATTAAGAAGAAAGACTCCTTGACTAATCCAAGGTGTTAAGTCCCCGTTTGACAGATCAACACCGATTCCCTCCCACTTCAGCTCCACGAGCATGTTGAGGACACTAGGAACTTCAACAGGCTCCACACCTGGCTTCAGGCTAAAGGCAAAGCCTGTTGCTTGATTTTCCTGGGGTGTTGGATCCTGACCTAAAATGATAACTCTTATGTCTTGGTAGCCGACGCTGAAGGCGTTAAAAATGCTGGTCATTGGGGGCTCTATAGCTACGTTGGCACGGCGTAAATCCCTCGTAAGACCCTCTGAAATTCTGCGTATAGCTCCGTTCACTTCTGCATTTAGCAAAAATGATTCCCAACCTCTTGGAAAACAATTATGTGTGTAGACATAGTCATACAGGGTCACTGTGCTGTATGAGGCTTGTCCACAATTAAAGGGGCGAGAAGAAGAACCAGCACGCTTCTCGAAGCTGCTTACATTGGTCCTTGTTGCATTTTCCATTCCTAAAGGTGCATGAGACAGATCGAAGAGGGCATTTAAACAACTTGCGTGACACAGCTCACTGTTGCATGATTTTGCAACCAGATTGCACTATCAGAAAGGAGAAGCAATTCGTTGTAACTAGAAAATTTTTATTGCCACCATAAATTTGCCAAACTTACGCTTATGGACGCGGCCATTATCACATTTTGCATCTTGCTCGCTTCGCAAATTTAGTAGCTCCTTTCGGCTTAAGTCGATGATTTACTGATCGGTAAAATGCTCTCCTCATAAAGAAAAAAATTTCCCCAAGCTTCCATGATATGCAAATCACATCTAGTGAGATATCTCTGCACTAAAAAGTTTCGACTAATTTACGTGTCGGTAGATGCCTGTGTGAAATTATTTTGAGATTTTTATCGTTTTTGTATTGTAACGGCAACAACTGAAGATATCACTATATCTTCGGGTTTACATAATTTGCTGATTTAAACAATAAAAAGATCTCTCTTCAAAGAAAAAAATTTCCTTCAGTTTCATGATGCACCGATCAAACCTACAAACTTAAGCACTGACGAAGGCGCGTTATTAGAGGAGAGGTGCCTTAGGTGCCTCTGGGGTAATAAGGGTGAAAGGAACAAATGCTGGTAGACGAACAAAAGGAGCTAATGAGATACCTATTGTCTACTTCCACCAGCATGATGGCAATGATGTAACGTGCGAGCCACCTACTTCGATTTCAAATTTACCGCCACAAATAAAGACAGTTTCCATTGGAGAAAGGAAATACAAATCTCAAAAATTCTTGTATCGTGATGAAGACATAACACAATTTTGAGGAATGCGCCCGCTGTTCACTGCTTTGGATTAGCTAAAGCTAAAGCTGACTTGACTCTTATTAGAGATCTACATCACACGACGGTTGATGGACAAATGGTCCAGAGGCACCTCTTGTTTTATAGCGCGCCTTCGTGTTTAAGGTGATATTTCTGTAAGGAAAACTTTTGTTATTTAAAATCACGTGCAATCCTGAAATGATTGTGAGATGCTTATTGTCATCTGCTGTCTTCCGGACTGTCATGGCAAGAACTACTGAAAAGATATTGTGCTCGTGGCTATAGGCATAAAATCACAAAAGGAGAGAACTGTATTGAGGTCAAGAGTTGAACCACTAAGAGACTCCGAAAAAACAATTGTGGCACCAGGAAACACTGGGTCAAAAGAGGCCATTTCCGAATTAATTACGTTTGGCCTCTTTTTCAAAACGAGACGTGGTGCTCAATGCAACCATACGTATGAAAATGAGTTTAATTTGTATGTGAATGAAAACTTATTACCATACGAAAGGATGAGCACCAGGCATCGCTTTGAAAAAGAGGCCAAAGGCAATTCGAAAATCATGGGCTATTGGGTCAAAATCGGAATTCTGTTGTTACATTCACTAACTCACTCACTCATTCACTCACTCACTCACTCACCCACTCATCTCGACAACATATGTAAGTGGCTTCGTCTCCAATAGGGGGTCGTAGCCACAATGAAAATCTTATATTAACTGCTAACACTTGCAACTGTAACTATTTGAACTCCGCAGCTGGTAGGTTTGCTTTTACTCTGACTTATACTCTCATCCGCAGTTTTTGCGTCTTCAACCTTGAATTAAACTTTAAAAAGGTTTAAACTTCCCTGTTTTTCCCGGCCTTAGAGATCTACATACTCTTGTTAATGATAATTTTTAATCTGGCGTTTCAATTACAAGGATGAGAAAGGTTAAATTGTAAAGAGAGGAAAGATTCTTACCCTCCATATCAAGTATGACTTCAGCAGCCTTGGTTCGTGACAGCAAAATGATTACGAAAACTACCGGAATCTTGGCCATTGGATGACAAAACTCAGTGAAGCGAAGAACCTCTCTTTGGGACGGAAATTAAGAACAAAACAAAAACAGGCAATAAAAGGAAAAAACGAAAGCTTCATCAAATTAAGCTATCTAAATTAAGCACAGCTGGACATTTATACCTTATAGCTACGAATCGGTTTGAGGAAAGGTTCTAAAATTGTGTGAACTTGGAATGAAATTCTCATCTTATTTGATTTCAGTTTCCCACAAACACTTTTCCTTTTTGTTCCGCTCTCGATGGAAAAACGTAATGTCCATGGTGATACATTCTAAGAGGCTCTTTTTTATTAATAGAAAAATAACAGAAAATTTATTGCCATACATGCTCAAAAACAAAAAACAAAAGAAACAAACAAACAAAAAAAAAAACCTATCGATATCTTCACTTGGGGTCGATAATCACGGAACATTCTTGTCATTCTCTGGAAATGAAACACGTCAAATATATTTCCGATTGTTGAAGTGCAAAGTTGACCGAATTATAATAGAAGCAATATAAAAGAAACAATTACTCACCCTTTGGTATATGAGTCTTAAAAAGACGTTTGGGGGAAATGAGATAGCTAGTATGTAAAATCACGAATAAGCCTAGTGATAATTCATTATGGATGAGGTAAGAGTGTTTGGTTCTCTTTTGTTCGTATTACTGGGTGCTTAGCTTTTTGGCAGTTTGTTCAAAAACATGTCACATTTTATGGTCAGTTCTTGAGAACTAGCCTTGGTGGCACTTTTAATAAATACAATGAAGTAGTTTACATGAGATCATTCCTTGTGGATTAAGTTTTGTACGGACGAGACTAAATAACCTCCACCGAAAATAATCAAGGAGAGGGAAATAGTGTTGCTTGTGTTTGAAATGATATCACCAATATTAAGTACAGTAGCCAAATGTTTTTGAATAAGGGAAAATTACCTCGTTTCATTTTCATTTTCCTGCCCGGAAGAGAACTAGCTTGGTCGACACTTAAATAAAACACTAAATAAAACCAGCTAGTTTATAATCCTCATTGAAGACGCACTAAAGGTATATATGGGCAGTGCTGAATGACCCCTGCAGAACTAAATCATCAAGGAACGGTGATTGAGACATCTGACTTGCCTTACCCAAACCTTGGCAGATTCAAAGAACGTGCTGCACGCTTTTAACATTTCACAGAACCTGATGTCAAATGAAGGAAACGTTAATTATGAACGAGATCGTCATTCTTCCAAATTAACAGATAAGAGGTTATGACAGGTGAGAGCCGAATGGATTTAGGAGTAAAAAAGGGGGAGGGTGGAGTGGGTGGAGGGAAGTCAAAGTGACTTCGATTGGGAGAGAGGGGAGATCATCCCATATTTTCTCATTACGGGAGAGTCTTCTATCACAAGGCTGTTAGAATTACTAATTTTTACTCTCACGAAAAGTGTCCGGGTCGGACACATAAAGCGGAGAAGATGCCGAATAATAACAGAACAGCGTTTCGACCAACAAGTTGAATGGCGGCGAAGAATGCCAATATTTACAATACGATCCGGTCGCCTTTTCACCAAAGATTACGAGACTCAGGAAGCCGTTAAAACCACATGATGAAGGGCGGTAAGCGAAAGAAAAGGAATAGTTTTACGTTCCTAAAATTTTAGAAGCGCTTCATCACGTGTGAAAAAGGATAGCGAGTAAAGTTACAACTGAAGGGTTGTGGTCTACATGACATACAAAAAACGAGAAACGGAACGGACTAAAACATAAAACCTTGTTGAGGAATAGCCTCAACAAAAGGCAATCGAAAAAGCTGACCTTTCGAATCTGGAATCTTTTCTTATTGTAATATGGAAGTTTTAGCCCGTCTTTTAAAAAATAAAGACAGTAAACTGCTCACTAGTCAGTGACACAAAATGAGATGTGTTTATTCTCACTAAGTCTGGAACACGTCACGTCAAACGAAGCGATTTAATCTACAATACATATTTTGCTGTCCATCATCTGCGCTTGTGATCCATCTTGCACCGTGAGACTGGACTCCATATTTTTTATATCCCTCATCACTTTCTTTATTACTGCCACAGTGTTCTACTGCACTTTTCCACAGCGAGTCATTTAATCCTGGTCTCTGCCAATTTAGTTCAGTACCTGATGTACACTTCCAGCTGGAGTTGGTGACTATGCCATCACTAAACGAACCGATGACATAAGGCTTTTTAACACTTTCTACTTCGATAGCGATGAGTTGAGCTGTCGGCAAAATGGTAAAATTATAGGCCCAAAACTGATGAAATTTTTTACAGTTCATCATATCGGTCTCCTGTCTGCCATCCACATAAATTTTCATGCTGTCTTTGCAGCTTAAACTCGCCTTGACAACTCCTACAAGACGGAAAATTAAATGTTATAAGCATAAATGGCCTCCCCACAGCGCAATCATGAGTATTCTTCTTCATAATTTAGAATTAGTTCACAAAAAATGAGCTTCACGACCAACCTGTTTCCTCGTTGCGAAGCAGTCTTTTATGGTCACATGTTGCCTTTCTTTTCTGCCAAAAAAGATTTAAACAAAGAAATTTCAAGTTTAGCATGTATGAAAATGAAGTAGACCTCCACAAAGAAGCGACGACAGACGATGAAATGTTAACTTTGTTATTTCAAAAAAGTTGTATTCTTTTCTGTCTCGCCCTCCATTTGAGCTAAATTTCCACCTTATACGAGCAAGAGAATTGTTATAATTGTATCTTAATTCATATAATGTTAAAGCTTTCAGCCGAATTGAGGATCCGAGTAGATGCGCGAAATTTCGAAAAAAAAAGGTGACAAAAATATGGTTAAATAAATTATGTTTGATGATTTCAGTCACTCTCAAACCTCAAGCTGTTGAAACGTGCAACCAGGAGTCCAAATTAATGAAGCTTCGTTAGAGCAGGGGTCGTTTAGGTTGCAGTTATTAAGAGAACAAGTACCGGTACCAGTGATGTCGTGGTCTTCCACTACGCAAAAATGGTATGAAATGCAGGCGAGGTCTTCTTGGCAAGCGATGATACAAGAAAACCATTCCACATCTTTGATTGTCTTGTATACAAAACCAATTGAGGCCGCCTTGTTATGAACGGTGAATGTGAACGCTTCAACGAGGCACAACGTCACCACAAAACGCAGTTTAATAGACATCTCCATCAGAGAATGCGTCGTCAATCGATTTTTATTTCAGTTCAATCTTTTTTATCTTATAGCTGCCTGTCTGGTTTCAAGTTTCTTCGCGTTAAATGCAACCAGCTACACTTAGCAAATCAAATAGTGAGTTGTAATTAATATTGCAATTTCCGTGTGTAAAAAGGCCTCTTGTGTACACTTCTCGACCTTTTTAGCAAAATTTCTAACGATTGATTCATCTTTCAAAAGAAACGCTTTCTTACAGGTCAATCCAAATGACAACTTGAAATGTCAGTGTTTGCAAATTTTCAAACCTCCGCCAATAGTTACCATACTTTACATGTATAATTTACTTTGGTAAAGCTCGTCATTTAATTCTGCATTAAATTTTGGTAACAAGCTCTTCATCTCAGAAAATGCACTTTTTCGTGTGATTTTGAAATGTGTGTCAACTGAGGCTCCTGGCCATTAATTGACCCTTATTTGCAAAGCTAAAAGTGGGTAAAGGTTTTGATTAAGTGATCCTGAATCTCATGGTTAAACAGGTTGTTGGCGCCTAAAATTATCCAAGCCTGAAAAGGAAAATAAATAATTACTCAAATTGAGTTCTGAACTGTTATTTAAAAGGAATATTTGATTTAAAATAAGATTAGTTTGATTAATTAGATATTGATTTCTTTTTAGAGGGGGGGGGGGACGAAGGGCTAACGCTCGAAACGTCAGCTTTTGTAATCATTACGGTGGCCAATTTACCATTTCAACTTTGTTGATATATCCAAATTATTTCGTTACTCCCACCGACGCAGCCCCAAACAGTTTCTTTCGAAACTATCAGCCTGTAAAAATTAGACTCCCGAGTACGATATAGCAGTTACCCATTTCAACTATTATTTAATCGGTTTTACACTGTTAAATTTACTTAAGTTAAAGACTAAGTTAAGTAGTTCGTAAAGCAGGCTTACAATCCTTCATGCCGTATAAATATTCATCGTCTTGATGAGCTTCGAATTCCAATTTCCACCACTGAAGACCACAACGCTTGGCTTTCTTGATTAATGGCATTCTTTCGTGCACACAAACTCTTCGGGAGGACTTCATAGTGAACTCTATATTCTTTATCTTCTTCCTTTCTCGGCTATCATCTTCTTCTTCTCTTTCTTCTCTCCGGATATCGCAAGGTCAAAAGGTCATAGCCTCGTCACATTGTAGCTTCCACAAGTTCAGTTAGCCGGCCACGAGGGTAAACCGTCTGGTTAAAGAGCTCTTATACTTCTCACAAGCCAGCTTTTATCCATTTACTGTAGGTATCTAGAATGTTCTATTACTATTTATAGCGTATTATTTTTGGCTGTGTCTCACAAGGACTGCGAACTAGGAACTACCGAATTCACGAATTTGATTGGCTGAAATCAATATTGAAAGTGGTCTAGATCAGTTCCCATCTAGACCGGCATCTAGACCGGTCTAGAAAAAAAAAGGTACAAAGAATATAAAAAATTGGCATATAAGTCACAGCCATATAATAAACATCTTATTAACCGAGCGAGGTCGGACTGTATGGGAGAATCTTGAGCTCGGTCGCTGGTACAGATTTCACTGCGTTCGGTCTGTACTGGCGAGCTTGGTCGTCAAGATTCTCCCATACAGACCTCCCGCTCGGTTAATAAGAATTAATTACAAGTTTTAATATTTTTGGAAACTGCTGAGTCGCATGAAAAATGTTTCTGGAATATTACAGACTAAAGATAACTCTAGAAAAGTCTGGGATTGCGTGACAGATTCGGTGAAAATAATTCGATCCTCGTAACATTACATACATGTTCAAAGGAACATTTCTATACGTACGTACTCTTTCACAAAATAATGAATTTAAATTGAGACTTCATCGCCAAGACTATTGAATCGATCATAGTGACATCGCTCATAGGGACATCGATCATAGGGACATCTAGTCACTTTGGACATCTGGACACATTTGGACTTTGGACATCCAGTCACAAGACACCTTTGTTCGTCAAATGCCAGTTGATCCTGACCGGCTGCATCCAAGACGTCATCAAAACAGCGAGGAAATGTTTTCAAAAGGGAAAGCCCGTGATGCCACAAATAGAAAAAGATAAAAAGGTAGACCAACGAGGAAAGCTTCTTGGTGTAAACAGAAGGATCTTACCTCAGCTTTAATTAAACTTCTTCGATTGCGGCGGAGTAAATGTTGAGGTACCTCTTCGAGCGGCTAACCGGTCGAAGTAAACTAACATCGTTAGGATATCTGATAGATGTCATTTGCAAAACAATTGTGTTCACGGGAAGCCGGGCAGGGCAATGATAAAAGAAAACAGGGAAAGCCCCTCTACTAGGAATACTATAAATATTCAACCAATCAAAGGCTTTGTTTGTGTGACGCTTTTGTCTCGGCAGATCTATAGATTGACTGCACTTTGCATTGTGGAAGCAGTTCCTACTCCAGCAGCTGGCTAGTTCATTCAGTGAAGCTGAGTTGAGAAGGTCCTGATCCATCACGAGGTTTGCAATGTGTTTCTTCTTTATACGGCCAACAGTTTGCTTTTTAAGTTTTTGATTTTGAATCGGCTGAATCAATGATTGTAGGGCACAGTGAAACTATTAATTTTCCTTGTATAAATCTCCGACGTTTGCGATCGGTGCGCAAAAGGCAACGGGTCAAATTCAACAATTCAGCGAATGGCGAATGTGTGTTATGTTCAGTGCTATGTCACCTCCTTTTAAAATTGGCTACAATTTTTTCAGCTTTCAAGTATTTCTTGCGATGTGTTATTCATTAATTCGGACTGAAAGGCCATCGTTTCCGTTTGCTACGTAAGGCGTTAGTCAGGAGGTTCGGAAACGATTTTGTAAGCTTGAACCATGCAGACTTATGGCTTCAATGAATATTGTGTTATGGATGACAGCCATTCGCCTAAACACCATAACACATCATGCCGGAATAATTTATGATGTCCAACGCCGAGAAGCTCGCGGTAGTTATTATTTTGTACCCGATCGAACTAATGTTAATTAACCACTATCTTCCATTGTCTGTAACCTAACTGATCACAGAAGTGACGTCAACAACGTTAAAGATTTAATTCGAACCACCAGGCGCATTTCACTGCAGAGTTATTTTCAGAGTTTTTTTTTTGTGTTCTTTTTTCTTCGACAGACATATGATATTTTCTCTTTGTTGATTCTCTGTTGATTGAGAACTCGGGCGAGGGGAAATGTTTAGGTCTAAAGTCCACCATGGATATCATGCAAGACTTGATTCTATTTGTTTCAAGCATTATGAGTTGTTGCTAAATTATCGACGAACTCAATTGCCACATACCATTTTAGTTTCTGTTTGTATTCAAATTGAATGTACTTGCCATACTTCTTAGGTCCATGACGTGGTTTGACCTGGTAATGAGAGCTCTTTGTTTGTGAATTGAGACGGAAATCATACGGCAAAGCACTCTTGACTTCAAATCTGTTTGTGAGAAGGCAGCTAGGGCGAGCATGAGTACCTTCAAAGAATTTTCGAGAACTATTGACGCTAAAATTTCTTTGAATTGACGGAGTGAAAGGCGTGAAGCAAATGTAAATTTTGCGATAGTTCGGTAATTTTTGTGAAAACATCACGTGAACAAGGGATTTCTCACTAAAAGACATCTGATAGGTGCCATGTACATTGCTAGTGCGTTCATGAAAAGATTACGACACGATCAAAACAAACTCGTAGCTTCCAAGAGAAAGCCCCCATATCTACTAATTCTGTAACAGATGGATTAAATGCGTTAAGACATACGGTCAAGGAATCTCTGAAAAATTACTCATTGGTCAAATTGCTGCTCGACAGCTGATGGACAAGGTTCATTTCGAATTTTCAACACTAAAATTATCTCTTTTCTGATGAAATATAGTTGCACAGCTTGCTGATGACGCAGCACAAGCAGGCAAGACAGGATTGCAAATGGCTGATGACATGGCTCAAGTGGGAAAAGCAGGATTGCAAGCTTCTGATGACGTGGCACAGGCTGGTGCCAAAGCAGGGTCCAAGACGGCAGGAAAATATGCTGGTAAGGTCTTGATTGCAGCTAATATTGCATTCCTGATGGTAGATTGCATTGACCTGGGCTTCACGGTCAGAGATCTTGTTGAAAACAAGGGATCCGAAGCAGCAAAAGAGTTGAGGAAGAAGGCAAATCAACTCGAGGATTTATTAAGGAAGTGAGACGTGCAAAGAACTCTTCACGTTTTATATTAACGACGAAACCAAAAAACCTTTGAAGAGACGTGAATACAACTATTTCATATGAGAAACATATAAGTATTGACTCTCCGCGTCCGTCGGTTTATTGATTAAACGTCGCTGCCTGACTTCTTTAAGGCTCCATGGAGATACTCCATGGTTGTCCTAAGTGATACATAGCAAGGGTTTCACAGCTTTGTAGTACTATATGCAGTATTTAAAACAGCGTTAGCCTACCGTGAGAGCAGGCGTAATTAGGGCGAGCGGAAAATGGCCGCCATCTCTGATTTTAATGGCAGCGGAAGGCTGGGGAGAGAGAGAAGTTTGTACCAAATTAGACATGGCCAGTTAAATAAACGATCGCGTACTTCTTAGAGTTAACTCGCCCTAATAAGATGTCGGCACTTCGCGTTAAAACAGCGTGGAAAAGTTGCGAATATTTGCAAAAAAACTGATCCTTCAATTTACAGACGAGAGAGTAACAATCTTCTCATTGTATGTAAAATTGTCAACAAAAATACTCAATCAGTGTTGCGTGAGAGTAACAACCTTCTCATTGTATGTGAAATTGTCAAAAAAAGTACTCAATCAGTGTTTTGAATTTTTACAAATTTTAAATTCTCAAAGTTTTTTTTTAGCAAGACTAAATTCCAAAATGACCTTGAAAACTGTAAAAAAAAATGTCACATATTTGGATGACACTTGTATCTCGAACTCTAGTTTTGCACCTTTGAAAGTTTTTGTCATGAATCCAGTGTCTTAATGAAAGATTACATGTATATTCGCTACAAAAACCAGGAAATGAGATACGGATCAAATAACTTCGTCGTTTTCACAATAAAAAAAGGACTTGTGATATCTGGATCGTGATTTTTTTTTGAGTGAGCATTAAAATTAAAAAATTATCTTGTTATTCCTGGTTATCATTCATGTGTTCTCTACGATTATTGATTCACCATACCGGTTTTATGGTAAAAATAAAGGGGTTTTGCTATGACGCGTGGTGGCCACATAATAAATTAATAGGGAGTTGTGTGACCGATCTCTTTGGGTATATCAGACTTGCATAGCAGCGCATGGTAAGGTTTACCATTTCACTGGTAAAATAATGTGGCAATCAACATATGAAATTTTCTGACTGCAGCTGTTGAGTGTGATTAGACTAAGAGCAGTCCTTCCTTATGGGCGAAGTCCGTCGAGCGAGTGAAAAAAAAATTGGCAAAAAATAAATTGGTATTAGCGTGCTACAAAGAACACCAAGAGTGTTCCGGCTTCCAAGGGACGGCCAAGTGGGTTGGTTACCAGCAATCTACTATCACGTGAGTGTTACAATTGGTATGGGAAGAGCTCGACGATTTGATTTCAGCCTTTATTCAGGAGAATACGACGACGGTTTTAAGTGGAGCGAGTGACAGATGCAAAACAAAAATATTGATAATGACCCCTAAGATGCAATCGCTGATGAACTTTACGTACTATGTAAAAACTCGTCGCGAGGATTCAAATTTACGATTTTAAAATCAAATTTTATGTTTCGTTTAGTAAATAGGCGTTGCCTATGATGACAGATATAATTTAATTAACACAACTCGTAATTGACATTAATTCCTCACAATGATTTAAAGTGTTAGCTTGTCGCAATTTAAACTAGTTTTTTCAGAAGAATCAGTGAGAGAGAAGTCGATTTTTGTATCTGTTCGCTTACCCGAATCTGTTAACCTGAAGTATCGAAGTGAGAAACCTGTTTCTACGACCCGCCACATAAGTAAGTTTCCAGTCACGTTTTCTTGAATTTTTCCTCGAAATTAAGACTAAATTTGCGTTTTCTGATTTCGAATTACAAATGTATTTCTCTTAGATCGAATAATCATTAAAGTTTGGATAATATTATACGGTTTGTGGTGGTCGTCTGAGCTGACCAGTCCCGAGTAAGGAAACATTTTATGTCCGCCAAATTGATATAAACAGCTGTGAATTCGCAGCGCTTTCTTTTATAAAAACTTTGTAAAAATATTGCATTTAGTAAAATATGAAACTAAATATAAATCTACACAAACCTACAGAAAAACATGACTTCGTAATTAAGGAAATAACCTCGACACCTGAAAGATGCCGCAGACTTTGTAACCAGGCCTTTGTCTACCATCATAAAAAATCCTTGCTGCAGTCTGGCCGAGTTCCTGACGACTGAAAAGCTGCTCAAGTTATTCTCGTAGGGAAGCCTTATTTACATAGCCTGCATTTTGTTCACGGAAAGACTGGGGCAAGATCAAAACAAATTAAACTATTCGCCTTGTGTCAAAATTATCGTCTAGAAAGATTTACACAGGTTCTGACAAGTATTAGGAACGAATCGAATGTTACCAATTGTCAAACATTTGGTGGCAACAGCTGAAAAATCAATTTCGCCCATATTTTAAAGTTAGGTACTGTCTCCATGGGAAATAAATCAAGTTAAACTAGTCGCTTTATGTAAAAATTATCGTCTAGAAAAATCAATTTCGCTCATATTTCAAAATTAGGTTGGTCTCTCACTACAGTACTTTGTTTGGAGTGTACTTCAACTATCATTAGAGGGTTACAGCTCGTATGGGAAAAGCTCGATGATTTGATTTCAGCCTTTATTCAGAAGAGTAAGACGACGGTTTTATTTGGAGAGGGTGATAGGTGCAAACAAAAATATTGACAATGACCCCTAAGGTGCAATTGCTGGACTGAAAGATTGGTGTTTCATCTGCTCATGTGCACTTGGCTGTATCCTTAATTATGAATCACGCCACGCAAGTAGAGTACAGAATTTTATCGTTTTAGCTAAAATTTGCTGACGAATTTTCCTGTGGAATTCTTCAATTCTTTACTAAACTATAAAGAAATATAATAAAAACCCATCGAGAATTATTACTGCGAATCTTTGGAATCAGAAATGTTTTTCTAAAGGAGGAAATAACTATCTGATGAACTTTACATACTAAATATAACCGCGTCGCGAGGATTCAAATTTACTATTTTAAAAACAAATTCTATGTTCGCCAGGTTGATATAAGCAGTTGTGAACTCGCAGCGCTTTCTTTTATAAAAACTTTGTAAAACTCATCGTATTAATTTAAATACGAAACTAAATTTAAATCTACATAAATCTACACAAAAACATGACTTCGTAACTTAGGAAGTAGCAGACTTTGTAACCAGGCCCTTGTCTACCATCATAACAAAAAACTCGCTGCAGTCTGGCTGAGTTCCTGACAACTTAAAAGCTACTCGAGTTATTCACGTAAAC